ACCCTGTAGATCAAGCATCTCTGCAGGCTTAACACGAGCAACAGGTTTTGCCCCTACAGATTGAGGAAAACCACTGTAAAATGACAGCAATTTCTTCCTAAGATCAAACACTTTGAGAAAGTGCATCTATTTTTGGCGAATGCTGGCAATGTTAAATAAAGGTGCTTCCTTTGAATTGCAGTTGCAGATAAATATGTTTTAATTTCCTATGCAGAGCCCACATTCAGATGATTTCCTAGCTGTCTGCTCAGTGAAACTCCCACACAGAAAAAGGAGATGCTTTTTATGGTACCTTGAGAGCAATTTGTTGCACAGATGATGCATCTATCCTCCAAGGGAGGCAGCTGTAATTGTAAAGCAGATGAACTCTATTGATGAACCCTTTGCTGTGTTACGAGAGTCATATGGGAATGGTGCTGGTAGCTGAGGAGGTGTGCTGTTACAGGGAAGCAGAGTGAGACCCAGTTAAAGGCTTCTGATCCCAAATACCACAGCTAAACCCAAACACAGTTCAGAAGCTGGGAACTGCTAAATGAAAGTTAATTGTAAGTGTTTTCCCTTCTTTAAAATAGTCTATATTCCATTTGCCAAAACAATCTCTTTTGGAAAATGGAAAAGCAGAGCAAAAGCCATGTTGCTTGGGCAATACACATATATAGTACACAAAAATAATACACAAACTGTATTATTAAGGAATGTCATTTGAGAACAGGCACACTTAGGTAATCAGCTCCAATAAAATATTATTGTAGAGTGGGAAAGATCAAATGAAAATATTATCATAGAGACACTTTTGACAACCCAACAGAAATATTGCATCCTATTTTAGAGTGAAAACTAAAAAGTTTTAAGTTGTTTAGTGATTTATTTTCTTGGAGGGACGAAATGGGTATCAAGGTTGTCTGAAGACTGTGTTGCCAGCACTTTAGAATTCAGGAGGGAAAGGGAAGCTTCTGAGAGCTGCAGTCATGAACTGAAGCATTGACCCCAAAAGCTTACAGGCTGGGAACAAGGAGCACATGCAACTGGATACAGACCAAGCTTCAGAAACAGCAGCAGCACAGTATCTTCTATGTGTCGGTACACTGAAATCTGCTTGCATTGGCCTGTCTGATTCGTTAGCATGGTGCATTGTTACTTACTGCCCCAACCTCATGCAAGTCTGCCAGAGATCACTAAAATCAAGGAGGATCCTCTACAACAGTGCCCGTATCACCAACAAAAGCCTCAGAGGCACTGTCCCAAGAGACTTACAGCTGTGGGATGTGGTCTAGGTCCTCTACAGAAGCTGTGTCTTCCATCCGTTCAAGAAAAGATGTGCCTGGTGGATTATAGCATCTTTCGCAAAAGAAAACTGGAAGCCCAAGCAAGTACACAAACTGCACTAACCTTTCACCTGTACAGCTAGCCCCAGGGAGGGGGAGATCAGCAGAGACAGTAAATTAACCCACTGGACCTCATTCCGTACCTGCCACATGCCTAAAGAAGGGCTTTATCTGGCTGCCTTTTTGCATAAGTAATCAGTTTGCAGACATAGCATTTTTTGTCATATTTCTCTTGCGTTAGAACACATGATATGCGCATTCTCTACGGTTGAATAAAAGGTCATGACTGACCAGCTGGTAGCACAGAATGCATTTTTACACTAATGGCAGGGTATTCTAGCTTTTGTTTCATATTGCAATAACTGCATATTTACATAAACCCTACATCTGTTTAGTTAAATTAAGCCAGAGGCTGATGATTTTTGTCTTTACAAAAGAGCTGATTTAATTTTATTGAACTTAGCTTTCCATTTAAAAGATCAAAGTCAGTGCAGCCCCCTGCAGCAACAATTCAGTCTTATGTGTTTCTTCAAATGTTCACATGAAGAAAATAGGGGAACTGGGACTCAGAAAGCTAATGAATTTTAACAGACAAGTAGCAATTACTCATTCCTAAAAAAATAAATAAAAATGAAAATAAATAAAATAAAAATAAAACCTCTTTGGGGCCTTTGTTTATTCTGGTCTTCATGAAAGAGATATTTTTCCTTCCACCAAAGTGTCAAAGTCTCGTGGATTTTCCTGACTCCTGCCTCTGAAACTGTCAGGAATTGATAGTGGAGGCAGCATGCAGATTTTTTGGCAAATTTCTAGAAGCTGGTAAATACTATGGGGAAAAGACACTTAAGAAAACTGGTGAAGACCTGGCGTCTCTAGCTATAATGTGTTAGTTCCTGGCACTCTGGACAGTGAACACCAGTTTGCATATAAAGTTGCTTGTTATCTCTACTGAAAGTAAAGGTAAAAATCATGACTATGAAACTGTATCTGTAATGGAGATAAGACATTTCCTGTCTTCTGAAAGAGCCTGTATGTCACCTCTGAGCATCTGACTTAGGGGAATTAGTCTTTGTTTTGCAAACTTTTAATTCCAGGAGAGGAAAGGCTGAACACCAGCCTTATATTTCACTCATGAAGTTTGGTATTTGCTTACAAGTGGTTTCCTCGCCTCTCCAGCTGTCAGCAGCACTTACTACTCAAACGCTGGGTGAGCACCATGGCTACACCCCATGCTACAGCAGGATAAGGCCAAACACACACTAAAATCCACTCTTCCTGGCTCCCTTCCTGGGGTTAACCCCTGCAGGCAATGTGAGAATAGTGACCAAAAGGCGCTGTAGCACACTCCAGGTTAGCCCTCCATCAGGACACTGAGGGTACTGAGTCAAAAGTCTGTTTTGGCTCCAGGAAAACGTTTCCAAGAGGTACATATTGCTACTGCATTACACCTATGTAATACATCCTCATTAGCATTTCAACTTGGATTAGCAATGTACTTTTGGAGCATTCCCCCTGACCACCCTTCCTCACCACGCTTTGCTTCAAGTTATGAAACTGTCCTGACACCTGGGAACTGGACTCCATCCAGACAAAGCTAACCCAAATCTGGTGTATCATCGCACTTACTGAGCTACAGAAGCTAACATGAGACCAGTCAATGTGATCAGATTAGAGCTGGTCTGAAGTAAATCTCTGAAGTACACAGAGGGCACACTGGGTCCCCTGCGCCAGCTCCTCTGCGCAGCAAATTTGTCCTACTTGTTCCAGGCCACCTGCTAATGTATGCACAGCCCAAAGAGGCTGCACTGCTGCTTTCTAACCCTCTCACTGCTTAAATAGGTGAATAGTGCCATTTTAGGTACCATATGGTATCCCTGCAGGCCTCCAGCTGCCACTCTGCAGATCAACAGCTTAAGCAAATGTCTCGTGTCATATCTGGCAGCCCAGCGCAGGCATCTCAGATACCTTAGGGACACAAACTGGCTGTGGATGTCTATGTTTCAGCAACTGAATACCATTTTATTGAAGTATCTATTCCCCTCTAGACCAAAAACAATAGAAGCAAATGAGGTTAAAAATTATAAATAAGGTGCTTGAAATACAACGGTAAGTAAAATAAAATAAAATAAAATAAAATAAAAATAAAATAAAATAAAATAAAATAAAATAAAATAAAATAAAATAAAATAAAATAATTGTAGAAGTCTCTCTAAAATCCTTGGAGACTTTTTTTAATAACTAAAATGTACAAAAAGCCTAATTTGGGCCAATATGTATGTTATTTTGTTCTTCAAGAAACACCTGAACTTTACAAACACCATTTATTGTTCAGTGAGGGCTAGATTCACTGAATTCATCGATAAGAAGCTCAGAATTAAGTTTCTGTGTGTGTACTTTACTAGTCTAACACCCTAGATGCTCTGAGGACGATAGCATCAGGATCTTTACATGATCATACCCTAAAGCTAAGTTTGTACTCATAAATCAGTAAGTTATCAATTTACTAAATTTGCTGGGGTCATAATAAAAGAAATAGGCTTTGGCATGTCCTCTGCCCTGAGAATGACTGACAGAGAGCAGCCTTCATCTGTGCTAGCAAACACCTGGCCTTCAGAAGGGGCTGCCCGCAGGTGAGCAGGGATGGATGCTGTAGGGGCTGGCCACGCTCAGGATTCTGTGGCAGAGGCTGATGGCCACCAGCCGGCACTGTGTCATGGGCTAACCTCCTGGTCTTACACAACAGCCACTCTCCAAAGCCTCAGAAAAATCTACCTAGAAATAGCCTAAGTTTCTGAATCCACGTGGAAATATTTGGAGCTTCATGTCTTCTAAGTGCTGAAACCAAAATCATGCCCAGCAAAACAGTTTCTAACAAACACATGAAGCAGGCAATGCTCTTGCTGGGCGTGCAAAGGCCAGCATTCACGTATTCCTGCTGCTCCCTCCGCAGACCTGCCTGCATTTCAGCAGCCAGTGACAAACCTCACATTTGCTATAAATGTAAATTAAAGTAAGTGCAGTCTTTTTAGATGCTGTGGACAAAAATGGGGCAGAAATGCCACAGAAAAGGGAAGTAAGGGAGTGATTATGCACATTAACATCCCGCCTGTGATGCACAACCTATTGCAGACCTTTAATTCTTACAAAGACGTGAGAGGGAACGTTGTTTTGGTCTGCCTTGTTTTGCCATTCTGTTAGTCTGACTAAGTAGCTTGGGATTAAAGAAAAACAGGGACTGAACATATACTGCCTATTTAATAGTGATGCCACTTGCATATATATCATCAGCACTATTTTAAATGTAAAAGTAGACTTTTAAGAGCTCAGCATCAAAAACAAAACAAAACCAAAAAAACAAACAGGCAGTGTGGCTTCATGTGCAAGTTTGCATAAAGAAAAAAGACATTTAGTGGCATTTCTCAGGCCAAGTGATCTCTCATCTAGAAAAGCTAAGGCTACACAGCGTTTAGGTCAGGCACACTGTATCCTCATTGTCCATGTGCAGTGATGCCACCTACATGTGAATTTCCTATATCAAGGACTGAACACCTGAATGCTTCCTAATTTCTAAAATAAGTGGAGCACCTCCAACTATGTATTTTCAGTCTACATGTATGGTAAATCCCAAAGATAATATTATACAAATAAGACACAAAATACAACAGCATACATTACTAGTATGTATAAATGTATTCTATTAATAGCATATAATCATAAACATGAAACAGTGCATGAATAAAACATATTTTTAGAAGTTTTTCTTTCTGTCACCTTGGATCTACAGATTGGGTATAGGAACTGCAGTACTGACTTTTATTTACAGGACTGATTCACTGATAATTGCACTTGTTTAACCCAGGAAAGTAAGTAAAAATAATGTTTTTAATAAAATTTACATTTTAGTTATTTTCTTTCCAGATCTGCAGCTAACTTCTGACCCCAGAAAGGCTTATCCATATGTTTAATTTTACACTTAGGAGTAACAATAGTGAAAATAATGCACATAAAAATGAGCCTTTGCAGAGCTGAAGTCGTGACAGTAGCCTGCTTTCACATTCAGCATGCACAAAAACCCACCCAAGGAGGAAAAGGTGAAGTGAAAAGGTACAATCATTCCCACTCTCCCGCATTCTCTGCAGATTTTCATTTCACATTCTCTCAAAATAACACAAATTGACATTAACAAATATTAATAGGATAGATAAAATATTTCGTAGGAAAATAATTCAGCAACCATTTATAATCCTTTTTTTCTTTTTTTAATTTCAGGTTCTTTTCAGGCCTCTGTTTCTAATATGCCAGCATATGTTTCCCTCTGACATAAATCAATATTTCAGTTGCATGTGTTGACGGGCTTGGACTTTACCACTTAGAGGCCTAGATGCTTACTGGCCCTCACTTAAGGTACATTTTTTCCAGTATGCCCATCATAGCAACAGCTGCTCATCCTTTATTCCAGTAAGCAACACTGGGCCACTGGATTGTTTCATTTTATTGTTTATTGATGGATGACATTTCAGCTTCTCCCTGCTGCAGTCCAGTGAATCCTGGTACACGATGGATGCAGGAACAGGTTTTCCTGGTGATGAAGATGCAACATGATAGTATCTTGAAATGCCACAGTGTTAGAGAGCACTCTGAAGTACTTTGTACATAACCCTAGTATGTTTGTGGCTTTACTAAGAATGCTGAATAACATGTAATATTTTGCCTTTTACAGAAAAGTATAGTAGGCAATGGTGAAAAAGATAATCTGTACAGATTATTGCTGACAGAAGAAAGAGATTTTTCAGTGAGACAAAGCACATCACAGTGCATTTTCCGGTACTAAACACAGAGGAGTAATAAAAAGTATCTCTGAATTGCAATAGACAGTTGTTTTAAGTGGTATTATGCAGAACTTGCTTTCACAAAGAACAGTGTTTCTTAATTAGCTGTAGCACTGTGTTGAGAACCTCTTCCTTGGAAGGACTGGCATCTACCTCTTGGCATGAAGGATTCACCATCCTTCTGTATGACTCTTCAACTCTATTTAAAAACAAAACAGGAGAAACAAAACTTCAAACTGCAGGGATATGAAACGGCATTAGTCATCAGCCTTGGAAGAAAGTGTTTGCAATGCAGAGAAAAGGGGAACAAAATCTAACATGAAGCTAAGAATGAAATCTACTTCAAAGACCAATAAATCATTAGTAACCATTACAATGCAAACCTCAAAGCACATAGTTTCCTTGATGTTGGTTCCCAGAGCTCCATCCATATTCACATGGCATGGCACTGGAGAATTAGTTTCTTTGCAGCTTAACACTGCTGTATATATATATATATATATATATATATATATATATGTATGACTCTGGTCTAGCAGTACAGTGGATAGCCTGCTTCTAACACCTGCATCAATTTATCCAGTGCCCACTCAGGCTCCCCTCTCTTAACTATACGGCATGGCATTATGTGAGTGTGTTCACTGACTGATTTCAGCTTTACACTGCATTACAGAATCGACACAACATTCAACCCTTTTCTCTGATCAACTTTGCTAACTGAATGAATACCAGGATGAAATACAGGGTGAAAACCTCCTTATTTAGGCTATTCTCATAATGCAGAACTCTCCCACATTTAGCCTATGAGGATGTGAATGAGAATGTGAATATAATTTTCTGTGTTCACACAATTAATAATACCAAACATTCAGGCCACAAGTCATAAGATGAATCAAGCAAGATTCTGGATGTTCTTACCTCCAGACTGACATAATTAACTAATAGAAATAATCAAGGGCTTTCTGGTGGGAATAAGAAGTAACAGAATTAAAATATGAAATATTCTTAAATGGCAGCATGTTTCCTAGCTCACCTATCCCTCTGCAGATCCCATGATATAAACCATGTGTCCTCACAGAGATTCTGTCAGAATTAAGCAATGGTTATTTTTAAAGCATGTCATCACCTGAAATTTTAAAATCCTACAAGCAGACTTCAGCTTTGTTACTTGTAGATATGGACACTGACATTCAGGTGTCTATACTGAGCACTAGATATTTAAGTTTCCACTGCAAACAATGATGATCTAATTGATAAATTTGGCAGAGCCTAGACAGCAATTCAGCACACCCTGAAGTAGGAAATCTAGAGTGCAATTCAGTTGCTTATGAATGTGTCTAGTACTGCTTGAGATGCTCTGGACTATCTCATTCAGCTTGCAGTTGCTGGTCCAGAAACCGTTCACGGGTTCCGTATCACATCTGCTAGCCTCATGCAGGTGTCTCAGATCTTACAAAATGGCTCTAGATAGTTATGCTTAGATCACTGGGCTCCAAAACCACCTCAAGTCATATCAAATGGCTCTAGACACTTATGCTTAAACCTCTGAACTCCAAGTGGGTGGTAAGCTGAATCACTTTAAAGGCTCCATTGAATGTATTAACTATACTGGGACCTGGGACACTTAGCACAATTGAAGACATCTACAAGAGGAGATCTAAACTTTATTCTTTTAATCTGACGCTCAATTCCAGACTTTTCTGGGGAAGCTATATGTTTCAACTTCTTGCCCCACAGTTCTGGAAGTTTTAGGTCGCTCTCCATCGTGACCTCAGTACAAAAGGTGCTGCAATTAAAGCAGCAAGTAGCAAAATACAAGTATTTTTAACTCAAACCTCCTTTGCAGGAAAATGCAGTTCTTCACCTGCAGCTTTGAAATACTTCTAATCAGAAGTGACAGAATTTACCTTCTTGGCAGCCATGAATCCTTTCCAAAGAAAAAAACCCAACCCAATCCAAAAACTTAGACATTGGAAATCCTTGTCCCAGTAATGTGAGTGGGACATTTGATACTCATCCCACAGGAGTCAAGATTGCCTCCATTGCCTCTATTTCTCCTTAAAGTGTACCTTTGGCGAAACAAGGTGTTAACTTCCAGTTCAGCTTCCTCCTTTGTTTTCTCCAGGCCCCGACGCTGAAGTCTCCGGACTCGCTCCTCTGGGTCAACAGTCAGGAGAAGAACAAGATCAGGTTTAAGCAGATCGCCAGGCCACTGGTACACCTCATCATGAGCTGGTGGAAGATCCTGGACTTTCCCATTTATTTCAGTGGCAATTGTGTAGGCAGCTGTGCTGTGCCAGTACCTGTCAGGAAAATACAGAATGGAAGGAGAAACTTTAGACAGGACACTAATTCTTCAGCAATATATGAGACAGGTGTCACTATAAAGACAACTGCAATAATGATGACATAGGTGACACTGTGATTTTGAAGGGAAATGTTCTGTACTATCAATTATTTCTTAATTAATTAATGGATAATGAGTGATAATACTCAATGCAATTAATGTGAATTATTAAGTAAAACCTATGGCAGAAGCTACGTTTTTTGCAGAGTGTTCCAGATGCTCCTATCGAAAGAAGGTCTTCTCATACAATGAGAGGTCAAAAGAAGAGTTATATATCAAAACTCAATACCCTGAGCCCCCTTTTTGTGGTTTCCATCCTACTTCATGCAACAGATTTGGCAGAGAACATTCAGTCTTCAGCTCCACGTGAATGAAGACAGAATTTATTGATGGCTATGCATTTCACTTGCATTTAACATTCCCACCACTATGAGGCCCTGCATTTTATATATTTATTTATGTATTTATCTATTTATATATAAATATTTATATATTTTTGAATAAAACCCACTGAAATGTAACCAAAATTTTGGTTAAAAATAGCTCCCACACAGATGCAAATAACTTCTATGTACATGTGCTGTGGAGGGGCACTACAGTACATTTACTGAAACAAACCAGGAGTGCAAACTGTATGTGGACTTCATGTATTAAGAGCAACATCAGAGCTGCCTACACAGTTAGTGAAAACAAGAAATAACATAAACAAAACCAAAAAAGTAGGAAGCATATTTCTGGCTTTACATCCTCAAAGAGTAAGTCTACCTAAAACTCCATAATTCTATCCTACCTGTATCTCAGATGCATCTAAGAGTTAGCATTGATCAGGAGCCCTCATCCTTCTTGGGCTTGTCCCATGGCCCTGGTTTGGCTCAGGCTGCACATCCCATACCTCCACTATTCCTAACAGAGGATGCAACACTTTTCATTGTGTCCTAAAGCCAGTTATGAGTATTACACTGATGGAAGTCCCATTCTTACTGTTATCATAAGTATTAATCTTTAGAAGATTTAATATTTACCTATATGCAAAGTAGCATATCCCCCCCCCCAAAAAAAAAAAAAGAGGAAAAGAAAACCAAAGACTGCCATTAACAACTTCCACCTGTAGCACTGAACAACTGTATGATGCACTGCTATAAGAGGACTTCTTAAATATACAAACCTGTCTACGATCACAGGTGCCTGAGTGGACACTTTTGCTATTTCTGAAGCAAGAATGTAGTTGCCCGCAGCATAAAATGCCCTTTTAATGGGTGCTGGCTCATCATCAAATACTGCCCTCCACTGGCTGATGCAAGCTGGTGGGGACCTCAGCAGAAAGCCATTCAGGGTGTCCTTAACAGACTGGGTTACAGTGGTTTTGCCTGCATTTACAGAAGGGAACATTTGTTATGTTACACATCAGATACAACCGTATATGCTTTAAAAATTTAGAAATGCTCCTATCTGTTCACTTGAAACACATGTTCTGACACCCGACTATGTAATCTGAGTATCATGTGATGAGGTTTTCAGTGGGAAATGATCATAAGTCTGGTTGCAGGAACTATTATTCCACTTCCTCTTCCCAGGCCTTCCACCTCTCCATCTTATCACCTTTCGGTCTTCACACCCTTAAATGCACTAAATGCATGGGCAGTTCTCTATATATCCATCTATTTCTATAGATACCCATTTACAACATTTTTCTAGGTCACAGTTCATGTGGATGTTGCCACCCTGTCAGCCAATATTTTCTTCTTAGAGGGGATTTTCAGCTTTCTTTAACTGAAAAGTCAGAAAACAGTTATTCAAAGGCAACAAAAATCCCTGCCTGAGACAAACTGCTGCCAGCTTCCCAGACTACCAATATTTTACTTCGTTTATTTAAAAATCTCTCAGGTAAAAGTATGTTTCATCGTTTGCACAAGAAATTTGATTTCCTGTACTCCACTCTTTGTATTCTTTCATTTACATCGATAAGGAATTCATGCTCTGAATGGGAATTAGCATAGATTGATCTCTCACGACTAAAAGAAGACAGGCTGGTCTTTAGTAATTCTTTTAATTTAACTTTAATTAGTAATTCTCTCAGATCTGTCACAGGTTTCCAGGATTTTCTGAATTGCTAAACCCTATGCCTGGCTGAAAGCCACAGCGGTCTCTCTTTCCAACAATTTCCCACCTGCGGTATTTCAGCCACACGTTGCTCCTACCTGTGGCGTCCAGCCCCTCGAAAACCACGACGGGAAATCTTCCCTTCTGCTGATGCGCAGGGCATTTCTCCAGCAGGTCGAGTAGCGCTCCGGCCTCCGGGATCCGCTCCGCGCACTGCACGGAAAGAGACGCAACCCTTCGCACCCCTGCCGTGGCACCGCCCTAGGCAGCGGGCATCCCCGAGCCGCGGCACCGGCGGGGGCTCACCTCCTGCAGGCGGTCGCGGACGGCGGAGGCTGCGGGCGGCAGGGCGCGGCGGAGGGGGTGCGGGCCCGGCGAGCCCGGGGCGCAGAGCCGCAGCATCGCCGCCGAGAGCCGGACGGGAGGTGCAAGCGGCGGCCGCGCGGCCGGGAATCGAAACTGCCCCGGCTGACGGGGAAAGCGGCTGGAGAGGCCGGCAGGCAAGAGCCGGCCCTCGGAGGGGCGGGATTTTTGCGGCCCCCTCCCGCTTTACTGGAGTGAACGGGCTCGGTCTCCGTGAGAAACGGCTCTGTGCATGCATAACTGAAACTGAAAGTAGAAAGTGTAAGTCTTAGCCTCGGGATCTGACCCATTCCACCCCTCATTCCCCTCCCGAGCAAAAAAAAAGGTCACATTCCCATGGTCTGCAGTGGCTGAACCACGGGGTCTCCAAAATAAAACAAATAAACAGTAAAATGCATGAAAATAATAATTAAAAAATCACAAATACACTCTACTTCTTCAGTCTGGCCTGAAGAGACAAGCAAGTCATGAACCCAACGGAACTCTTTTGCTGTGTTGCAGTGCCCAAGTGACACTGAGCTGTGAGGACATTATTCCTAATTAAATCCCATTATCCTCTGTCAGCGCCTTAATAGTAAGACCAACAGGCTCAAACAATTTTGGAAGTAAAAGTACTTTTACAAGCCTGTGGTGTTTTCATAACTTGGTGATGGCCAGTTTCAGCTTCCATCTGCTCAGGGACAGGAGCTGGAAGGACTTGCCCATAGCCATAACACTTGCTTAGTTTCATGTCAACTGCTGTGAATAATGTTGCCCAAAATGTGGCTTTTGAGTTTCAAAAATATGTAACTTGAAATGCAGGAGAACCTGCACCTCTTGCAGAATCCTATTTCTGCATTTCGGCAGTTCGGAAACTGCCACTTAGAGATATCTAAAGTTAAAATTCTGATACAATTTCTGAAAGAATATACTCTACAAGCAAGTACAATCTGCAAGAAATTCCTCAGGAACTTGATGTCTTCCTCCGGCCAGCTCAAACAAATATCTTTTGCTTAGAGTTTCTGCAGGGAGAGGGGAGCAACTGGTAGGCAGTATTGGTGAGACAGAGATCAGCTACACTAGTCGGAAACTACCCGTGCTGAGGAAGATGGAGGAAGGCTGGGCCAGAGCAAGAACTTGAACACAGCCTTGAAGGCTCCTGAATACACTCTCAGAAGCAGGTACCAAAACTGGCACTTTTTTAAGGCAAAGTATGCCCTTTTTTATATCTGAGAACTCCTACGTCTTTCCACATCACTCCACTGGCTGTGGCAGCTGGGTATGGATGCCAGAAGACACAGTATAAAATATCATTCATTATACAAGATGCCAATTGATGGTAATATTAAGCACATATTAATATGCACTACTGAATCAGACTAGTGGCTCTACTCTCCCAATATTTTGTCTGGCAGAATGACATGCTGCTCAAAAGCCTGGCATATCCATGGTCTCTTCTAGTTCTTATGCTCCTATAGGATCCACAGTCAACAAATTAGGAATGTTCAACAGCACATCTTAATCTCTTCCTTTTAGCACCTATTTATGGACCCTTGCTCATCCATCTATTTAAATCCCTTTCTGACTCCACAATACAGTCTAACTCCACAAACCCCCATGGTCTCACATTCCAGCAATGCACCTCTTGCATAACACCAATTTTCTTTTATAAGCTTGAAACTCATATTCTACTTGCTTCAACAAGTGCCTCTTCTAGTAACATTACTGACTTTGGGGATTAACAGTTCAATACTTGGTCTATTTATCACCTTCATGATTTTGTAAAGCTCATTCAGATTTCCTCTTCAGCTTTTTCATGTCAGAAATGAGAGTGCCTATATCTTGAAGGCAGTTGATTCATCCGTTAAACATTTATATAGAAGAAAAACTTCCCTAACTCTGTGAGGTCCTTGATGAGATGTGGAGATCTGAACTGTACCACTAGTTAAGGTATGGCTACAAATACCGAAGTTTCACAGAGCAGCGAAACAATGCCACCTGCCTTGTTCTCATTACATTTTCTGGGTGATACTAAGCTTTTTGTTGACTTCTTTTTTTCTGCTGTCTCTCACAGAGCCATTGATTTCAGAGGGGTAGCAACAGTGACTCCAATATCTCTTTCCTGAGATCCTAGTGCCACTGCCAAGCTCAGCCCCTTGTATACTCAAGGTTTCGATTATTCTTTCCTATGTGCATCTCCTTATCTTTCTCTACACTGAAGCTTATCTGCAGCTTTTCTGTTTATTCCTTTTTTGAGGTCCAATTGACTTGCAGCCAAGTTTCTTTGCAAAATCATTTAAAAGCTGTCCGTGTTCCTCACTGACCTGTCTGGTCCCTTGCTCTTCATTTCAAATGTTTTCCTGATGCCACTCTCGCCTTTCCCCTCCCCGCTGTCTAAACGGAAAGAGCTGACTTTCATTTTCTATTTCCCCTCCCACTGCCTTGATACAATCTTGTTTACAAGCATTCATGAGACAAGTCAGTGGTGCTTCTTTACTTATTTATAATATGCTTATGAGATCATTTATAACAGACATGTGATGTCTGTCCTCCTGGCTAATTACTTAAAAGTATCTTCTTGCAAGATTTTAGGTCTTTCCTATCAGATTATACACAAACAGTTCAGGCAAAAATACAGGAGAAGAGAGCTGCTTTTTATGTCCAAGACAAGTCTTTGTATTTAAAATCAGTGTAGGGAGTATGAATGTCTTGAAATTAACTAATGGGAAGTATTTTTCAGTTTCTTCACAAGGGCTTTTATAATTTTATCTTCTCCATAGTATGAAATGATGCTGAAGAGCAAATGTGCAAATTATGTGAAAAACACTGTTCTGGAGCCTCTTGACATCTCTGAACGTTCACTGTGCTTGGACATAGTTACAGGGAAGAGCCATATGACCACTGAAAATCTTTTTGATCTACCCAAAGTGGAAAAAGAGAAAAAAAAGCCCCAAATTAATCAACCTGTCACTTTAAAAAATGTATCTAAGTGCATAGCCCTGTAATGTAGATAAATAGCTGAGACACAGGCAGGAATTACTTATGTTTGAAGGCCCATTAAATGCATAGGTACAAAAACCAGACACAAATAGAACATAGCTGTTTTCATGCACAACAAGCTTTCAAGAACACCAGTAAAGAGCCTTCCAGTAAGGAAAAAGGTCTGGGGGTAAAATTATAAGAACACAGAAGTTAGTATCATATTAGGCCAAGACACCCTCCTCTTCTGCCCACTGTTGGTGGCCAGTGCCAGATGTTTGGAGAAGAGTATGGAACAAACCCAGAAGGATCCTTCTCCCAACATCTTTTTTTGCCAAGAAAGGTCAGACCAGATGGTCCCTGAAGTCCCTTCCAACCTGGTATTCTATGAGTCTATGATTCTATGATCTTGGCCCAGATTCTAGGACTCATCTCTTTCTATGCTCCCTGAGCTGGAGATCACATATACACCACGAAGGCCCATGGTGGGCTTCTTTCAAATGTGCCTAATCTGTGTATTTATATTGTGTGTTTCAGAACATAATTTGCATGTGGGTTTTAACTTTGTCTTTGGTAATTTTCCCTGGATTGCATCCCAAGGAGGAGTGAGTCACTGCAAGTACAAGGTCCTTGACAGAATCCCATTTATGGTGCTAACGGGGAAGTCATCATTTCCAGATGGGAGTGGATCAAGAAATAACATATTAATCAAATGCTAAAAACTACGTCTGCCATTGCATGACTTCCCTGGTTGTTCTTGGACCATCTGTATTCGCCAAAGGTGATATGATAATGGCTCTCTGTTAACCTTATTTGTATTACTGGCTCATGTCAGGAATTTGCTTTCCCTAGGAGCTGAGGCACTGTGCAAGGAGATCAGGGCTGAGGCTGCATTAGGTCTAGGTCACTGGCAGCCTCAGTGTATCTTCTGCAATTCCCAGCCTTTCAGAATGTCAGGAAAGTTTCTGAGACAGGGTGAGCCAGAGGAAAATGTGTTACCTGCAGTAAGATCTCTACACAAAGCTATATGCAGTGCTCATGAACTTGGTGGCGTACATATATACACACATATATATACTCAGTCACAACACAGTATTTCTTGAGATCCAATATTTGCAGTGTTGAGATTGTCTTTTAAGTTCTTATGCTTATCAGAAGTATTCCTAGGAAAAGTTTTCCAGTTCATAGGATGGAGAAAGGCTGTAATCCCTACATCTGCGTTGGCTCAATTTTATATGAACAAAAGTTAGAAATGAGGTGAGAAAGGAATTTGAATTTGGGTCAAGAAGATACAAAATGGGATAGAGTTACTAACATACAGCAGAAGGGATGTATGGAGAGAGGAGGAAATGGAGCATAGCAGTCTTTGCCAAATTAATTGCAACACTGAAACAACCAAGAAGCAACTTCAAAGTCAGGTTTTAGTCTCAGCCTCAAGGAACTTGAAGGGCACATGGATAATTCCTCCCATGGTTACTCACTGCTGACAAGCTCTAAGACAATTCTGCAAAGCCTCAGGAACTGAGATGTTTCCCACCATGTTGCATCATTATACATTTGCAAGGTGGCATTACCGGGGTTAGACACAGCAAAAAGCCTCCCATCCCGCCCTACGGCATGAATGCATTCCAGTAAGAAACAGCTGGTAGAGATAACAGTATAAAATGGCTGAAGGGAAAAAAAAACAAATCCTCATTATTCACTGACCCAGGCATTATTAAGCCGTAGATCATCTCTAGGAAAGCGAAGAAAAGGTGATGGGCATTTAAGAATAGCAAATGACAGCAGTAATAAAAGAAACAGTCTTTATTCACAAGCAGATTTTGTTTCCCATTAAAGTTTGTGAACAGGATGAAGCCAGTTCTGATACCCCTTTTCCAAGGGGAAAAAAAGAAAGAAATCAACATGAGGACAAGACTCTCCTGCTACATTAGCAGTTCTGCAGGCCAATGGAAGTGAATGAAGCTCCTGTTTAAGCCTGCCACAGCCAACATGCAGTTGGTGTTGAGATTTGAGTACTGCAGCAATAGAAACACTAAACCGCCCATGCAAGAAAGAGGACAGAGTGGCTGAAGGCAGTGTGAGGCTGAAAAGCCGTGGAGGACTTCTGGGTGTCTAGACCCACTGGGAGTGCTGATAGCAACTGGTGCTATGATGGGCGTGCTCTTCCTCCAGCAATGGCTGCCCTGCCACTGAGGAATTGAGGAAGCTGGGAACTGGCA